GGCTGCGGTCTGACATTGGCGGCTCAATAATGACTCCAAGATCCCTTTCTGCCTCTGTGCTTTCAAGAAGAGAACTCCCCAGCCTGTATGTATGCTGTGGATTCCTTCTCCCAAGGTGCAGCACCCTGCATTTGTCTACGTTGAACCCCATTCTATTCTCGTCTGCCCACTTTTGTAGTCTCTCTAAATCTAGTTGCAGCCTCTCTCTCCATTCAAGTGTGTCCACCTCATCCCACATCTTAGTGTCATCAGCAAACTTGGACAGTGTGCTTTCCACCCCCTTGTCCAAGTCGCTGATGAAGATATTGAACAGTGCGGGCCCAAGGACTGAGCCCTGGGGTACCCCACTGCTCGCATCTTGCCAGGTTGAGTACCACGCGTCCACCACTACTCTCTGGGTGCACCCCATCACCCAATTTTTTACCCATCCAACTGTGCAGGCATCAATGCCACAGTCACTTAATTTATTGATGAGTATGGGGGAGAGACAGTGTCAAAGGCCTTCTTAAAGTCTAGAAAGACTATGTCCACAGCGACACCATCATCCAAGGATTTAGTTACTTCCAGAAGTCCCCAGTGTATCAGGTGACCACAGAGTATAGTTGACTCTTGACTGGTAGCACTAAGTTCCTTATACAACAGAGCATGCATGTTCACCCTCACTCAAGTACACGGCCAGTGCCTGTGGTGCCTAGGTTTTTGCATGGTAGAGTAAACGCACATAATATAGAATGGGGAAACTTGCCAATGGGCCTTCCTCAGCCTCTGAGTACTCAAACCCACATCTCTTGCTTCTCAGAAGAGTGCCCTAACCACCAGACTCTCAGCAAGACTGAGCACAAGTACCCTCCAACCTTTCTAATGAAGATGGGTAGTAGGCAACCAGGAGTGCAACTCATGGGACCAGAGAGAAAGCAAGCAAAAGGAAATCTGACTTTGTGTAAGGCACTCCTTTGGAAGGGGGAGGAATGCTGGGTTGTATCCCTGCTCCAGGAGTGTTTATGAATTTTACAATAGAAAGTCATTTATTAAAACACAGAAATAACCCCAGTAGCAGGGTGCTGTACTGTGTACTGACTTCAGCATTGTCAACCATAATTAGGTCCCTTTGCTGCAGCGCTCTGGACCTGAAATGATGGGGGTGCTTAAAGTTTAGCCCTGAGTTAGGAAAATCATCTCCACAGAAGCAGACATTTAGACACAACTCTCTGCCAGTGTCGCCTATTGTGTAGCTCTGCCCAGCTCCCTGCTCAGCCCCAACTCCAGAAGCACATCTGTACCACGAAGTTATTGTTTCAGTGTCATCTTCAATCACTCCAAACAGCTCTGTGTGGGTTATCTCAAAAGTTGTGTAGCTGTATAGCTGTGGGAGGGCTAATTAAAGCCATTTCTCAGCATGGCTAATATGCTGGGCTCTGCTCTTCATGAACATGTCTCCACTTCTTCCAGCTCTGGAAACAGCCTGCTTATTTGAAGGCACTGCTGCCTGGCACAGTAAGTTTGGAGGATGGATATGGCCATGATTGTTCTTTGAAGGTATCCACCTTTTTGGATTTGGTCCTTTTTTATTCATTTTTCTTTTTCCTTATGACTCTGGCTTGCCTAGTTAATCATAAATGTAATAGTTCATGTTCCATCAGTTTAGAAATTGAAAGAAGAAAACTGTTGTGAAATGAAGGGATGGCATATCAAGCTCAGATACCAGTAGTGGGAGCTAGGAGTGTGCAAAGTGGGCAGTATTCAATTCGGATTTGGATTTGGCCCAATTCAGGGGACAGGTATTCAATTCTCTGATTCGGATCACTATCCTGATTCAATTTGGCTGAATCTGAATCTGAAGATTCAGTCCTGAATCAAAGAATCAGCAATTCAGCCATAGACACAGCTTTATATGTTTTTTTCTATGCACCTCGAGGTACCACGTGTGGCTCGTGAACACTGAGATGGTGGGGCGGATGGAGCATTCCACAGGAGCACGTAGAGGGTCCCCGCATGCTCAGCAGTGCACCCAGGAGTACTTCTGGTCCACTTCTGAGTCTGCTGGAGAGTGCATAGGGGACCCCCCCACCACCTTGGCTTGGCAATGGGCTGCAGAGAGACCTTGGGTGCCCCCCCCCCAAACCCAGGAGGCACCAGTTGCTGAGCAGAGGGATGAGCTGTCTGCTGCTGAGCATGTGGGGGACCCCCCCACTGCGCTCCCATGGTACACTCCATCTGCCTCACCATCTCAGCATTCATGAGCTGTGCCTGGTACCTCGAGATATGTAGAAAAAACATATAAAGCTGTGTCTATAGCTGAATCATCAGATCTCTCCGAATCTCTCCAAATCGAATCAGAGGTTTCCGATTCTATTCGGAGAGATTAATGGGTCTCCTGATTTGATTCAAATTCAGAGATTTGGTCACCAAATCGAGCCAAAATTCCTCCAAATTAAATCAGCAAGCAAAGCTTCACACAGCCCTAGTAGGAACCCCTGATTTTTACTCTAAGCTCCTCAAACAAGAATCGTGTCTCTGTATGTGTTTGTGTAGCGCACAACACAATGGGGATTGATCTTGATTAGGAACTTTGTAACTACTGCAGTACAAATGAACACTCCATTTATAATGAATGTTTTACTTGGCCGGTGTCACTGATTTTTGTATTGAGAAGAATTTTCCAGATTCTTGTTTTCAACATGCAAGAAAATGTTCAGTCTTGGGGATATGATGTGTGTGGTGGGGGTATTTTGGTAAAGCAAGGTTCTGGATAGAGTGAGTTGTATGAGTAGCAAGAGAGCTTGGGCTTGGATTAAGGTAAATTTTCAAGGCCATGTTGTTCCTTGGGAATTGGATATTGATGTTGTGCTGAGACTCTTAAAATAAGAGATGTCCCTGCAAGCTGTTTGTGACTATCTCTGTTCCAGGAGTGGAACACATCTACACTTAGAAAAAACACATCACTGATTTATTTTCTAATGGAAAACAAACCTGTTCTGATTTAATTTTGTACAAGCTGGTAGAATATACTCTTATTGTATGCTTTTAGCAAAAATTGTAAATTTTATAAATGCTATTTTGTGTGTGTGTGTATATATAATAGCATTTATATAATTGTATAAATGTACATAAATGTACACAATACAATTTAATGCATTTGTACAAATATAAATGCTATTTTGTACATTTATGTACATTTATACAATTATATAAATACTATTTTATATATATATATATATATATACACACACACACACACACAAACACACACAATAGCATTTATATAATTTACAATTTTTGCTAAAAGCATACAATGAGAGTATCTTCTACCAATAATAAATATTACTGTTTGTTTTACTGTATTGTCTTAGTAAAAGCTATAAATAATCTCCCACCATTGCCACTATTGCAAGGCCTTGGATATTGGCTAACACCCTGCAGAGAATTTGCAGTAATAAGTGACTATAGAATTTTGCCCGTGAAAAAATCCTGACTAACTGATCTGAAAGTTCATTTCTGATTAACTTGTTTTTGAAAAGGCAGAACACCAGCTCTTATAGTCCTAATACAGTAACAGGACCTTAAGAATGGAAAAGACTCACCTGATAGAGCCTTCCCTAAATGAGAGATCAGCAACATAGGACCTGTAGGCTGGATCCAGCCTGAAGCAGCCACTGGATTTGGCTCACAGCGCCCCAGGGCTTCACTTATGCCCACAGCCATGGCCATACTGAGACAGCATGGAGCAGTGCTGGTGCTGGACAACTTTCAGCTGAATCCTTGCTGCCACTGATTCTCCACTCCTACTTCTTAACTTCCCTGCAGCTGCATAATGGGCTCAGCATCCAGCCAGTGGTGAACTGTGCCAAGGGAGAGCAGCTGGAAGTTGTGCCCACTTCTCCATCCCCTCTCCCTGCTCACCTTCTACCTCCCATCTGTGGCGCAGAAATAGCAGAAGCTTGGATGGACTTTGCTTTTAGCTGTCTAGCCCTGGCACAGTTCCGCTTCAGATGGAAGGAGCATGCTTATGCCCCAGCTGAGGAGTGGGGGGCTAGGAGAAACAATGACAGCATGGGCACAGCTCCCACCTGCTTGGCACAAGAAGTCTCTCACTGCTGACAGTATACAGAAGCTACTTGGTCTGCATTGTACTGCAGCTAGGTTGTTCTAGTCCATGGTTTAGAAAGGTTGCTGGCCACTATTCTGAATCCTACATTCCTTGGGGAGGTAGAAAGAATGATGGACTTCATAAACTGAAAATGGGCTTTATGCTCAAAGCACACATGCATCTTAGCAAAAATGGTGCACAGATGAATGCCAATTTATTTATTTTTTTACTTCCATACCAGCTTGGGAGCTCCCATTCCCTCCCAGTTGCAGGGGAAGGACTCTAGCAAGATTAATATAGTTTGGGCCAGCCTTGATTTTCAGCAGTTGTTTTGCTGGACTTGAGAAGAAAAGCCATGTGTGTGGCCTAAGGCAGGGATATTCCCTGCAGTTATGGACATCTTGTCATGAGTAACTGGGGAGAGGCCTCTATAAATTAGTTGAGGGAATAATCCCTTTTGTGGGTAGTCCCATTATTAGTTCTATTAAATCATGCTGAAAATATTTCTATAACATTGCATCTTACTTAATTTTACAATGACATCTTCTACACTGCTTTATAAATGGATTTGCGTACCAATATAAGAAGTCACATGCCTAACTTTCAGTATATGAACGTTGCCATATCATCTGGGGACTGCTGCTATACTTAGTCTGTCACATGTTAAGAGCCTTTCAGAACTAATATCTTTGTAAGAAAGATTGTAATAATCTTTAGGTCTTGAATCCTCTTTTTAAAATCTTGTTTGAAGACAGTGAGAGACCAGAAAGAAAGATATTTTTTCTGACTACTTTTCACTTTATTGTGATTTTTTTTACCAAAAAAGGTATAAAATATTTGTATGCTGTTTTGACATTGTTTTCTTAGAGAATACTGGAAATTTGGTAGAGATGAAGACATGTAATTGCTTGGCGAACAAGAAAATACATTTCAGATTTGTCACTAGAGCTTCAATTTCAGATAAGCCTGTTTAAAGATAAAATACTTATTTCTGCAGGAAAAAAATAAAGCTAAATATGCCTCTTGAATGCATCTATACCAGTGATTCTTAACCAGTGTGCTAGAACTCTCCAGCGTGCCCAGAGATCCTTCTGAGTGCCAGGGGATGCCACACAACATTAGCACAATTAGGTGTGGAAATATGTACACGATTCACAAGATAAACCTCATGATTTCAGATACGAATCTTTAGTGTCTAAAACATTCTGACTCACTGTGGTCTTTCTGAGCTCTTTGCAACAGAAGAATTGCCCTATTATTTGTTGTCAAGAAATGAATGAAAATGAAGAACTAGTATTACAAAAGGGTGCCTTGAGTCTAAAATGTTTGAGAACCACTGATCTACACTATGGTTAAAGGTGTGGTTTTGGAGCACCTATACACATGGTCTTATGCATTCTGATTAGAGTACATTAATTGAGTCTGCTGCAGCATCCTAACCAGAATGCTCCAGCATGCTACAGGGTTTCACATATTCAGTGTCCCCGTGTTACAAAATGGTGATGGGACACTTTAACTAAAGGTCATTGAATGAGCTTTAGGTAAAGCATCCCCACTATCAATTGGAAACATGGGACATTAAATACATGAGACACTGAAGGCATTTTAATTAGAATGGGTCTTGGAAGATACTGTAATTAAAAAGCATGCCTTCTACTCCAGAGCACATGGAAAAACACCTATGGAGATGTACCCAAACCAGCTTTAAATTAGATATCTAGAATGCCAAAAACAGTGGGGACATCTACATGTGCAATTAATATGACTGAATATTCTCTGACTCAATTTGAGCTGGAGTAAACTAATCCTGATGTCACTGTCTACACATGTATTTAAGCACAGCAATATATTGTGCTGCTGGATACCACTTCTATCTGATGGGACTATCCAGAAGTGCAGTAAATGAGTCTACTGTGACCTAATTGCTGTGCATGCATAAATTCATAGACTCATAGATTGTAAGGCCAGAAGGGACCTTGGAAGATCATCGGGCCCAGACCCCTGCACCAAGCAGGAAAGATAACTGGAGGGGCAGGTGACCCCAGCAAGGTGATTGTCTAGTCTCTTCTTGAAGATTTCCAGGGTAGGCAATTGTACCACCTCTTGAGGGACCTTATTCCACAGTATGCACATCCTGACTGTGAAGAAGGAAATCAATCTTCCAGGAGTTGGTGGCCATTACTCCTGGTTTTCCCCTCGGGTGCCCTGGTGAACAGTTGCTCACTGAGCTCTTGATATACTCCCTTAGTGTAGTGGTAAGCTGCTACCAGGTCCCCTCTCAGCCTTCTTTACCTCAGGCTGAAGAGTCCTAGATCCCTCAGCCTTTCCTCGTATGGCTTGCCTTTTAAGACTGATCATATGGGTAGCTCTTCTCTGGACTCTGTTAAGCTTGTCCACATCCTTGTTAAAGTGTGGTGCCCAGAACACAGTACTTCAGCTGCGGTCTCACCAGTATCTCCAGTGGTGGTCTCCAGTGTCTCCAGCTGCAGTCTCACCATAGATGGTGACACTTTACTATGCTGCAAATTAGTCTGCTACACAGTAAAACATCTTGTGTGGACACACCCAGTGTTGCCATTGAAGCATGGAGTTCAATATGTCCTCCATGAGCAGCTTTGACTGCACCTTTGATTGCAGTGTAGACATAGTGTTAGTGAGGTGGTACATAATGCAATAATGGAGAGGCACAGAAAGACTGAGGACTAGTTTCTTGATTTCATTATGTGCTGAACAAAGTTGCAAATTCTATCCCTAACTGTTCGTCATGAATAAATAAGGGCTTTCTGGTAGAAAGCTCATTTGGAAGAACAGCTAATTCCTCATTCAAGCATAAAGAATAGGAAAAAAAGTGTTGAGGGTAGGATTGGATACACAAAGCAATAGAATTGATAGAAGCTGTAATTAAGCCATGATTTGTCATAATTTAGAATTTTTTTCAGCTGTTCTAATATATGATAATGCCAGCTGGACCTGGCACAAAAGTGTCATAGGAATTAGAAGTAACTTCATACTTGATAGCTCCACACAATCATAACAAGCAGATCTCAGTACAGAAGATAATTTGGGTCATAAACTCTTAAAAAATATGATCTGGCTCTTCATACTTGTGATTTACATCCCCAGATAACACACTAGTAATTGTTTTCACATGCAGCAACTGATATTTTTAGTAACATATCAAAATGTATTTTGAGATATGAAATGAAAAAAATCAATCAATTCATTCTTTATTTTTTTTCTGTTGATTATTTTCAGTTTTAAAAACCCTGCTGAAATATTGAGTATGGTCTGAATAATATTTAGGGGCTGATGCATCATTTTCCTATCTATGGGCATGTCCACACATGCAAGCACATGTGCTTGCAGCAGCTTAAATAGGAACGACACAAATTTGTGCCAGGGATTTTTGCTTCAGTGCATGTGCCTGGACATGCACTTTGGTGTGGGGCAAGTTGTGTTACCTGGGGCATAATGACCCATCCAGCTCCACCCAGATCTACAACCAGGGGGAGCTGGAGCAGTATAAAACGCTGCCCTGGCAAGCAGCAACCTTTTGAACATGTACACCCCTGCAAGGGACATGGAGTTGGTGGATTTCTTCCGCCAGGTGGCCACTTACCCTCGTGACTGCCTGGTCTTTGGCATGGACGTTAATGTCACCCTAGACATGTAAGACCTGTCAGGCAGGGAGTGGAACCAGGCTGCCATGGGCAGCTTTGGGGAGATCCTGATGGACTACTCCCTGGTGGATGTCTCGTGTGCCTGTCACCCTACTGACCCCCTTGCTTTCACCTATGTCAGAGTTGGGG